AGGGAAAGAGGAAAGAAAAAAGAGAAAAACCCATCCAGAATCACTATTCAAATCGAGGAGCATTAGTATACACGTGTCTATCCATCACAGTCAGGGTGAGCTAGCCAGACTGCCAATAATCCCGCCCAAGAACACCCACTATAACCTAAGAGTGACAAGACTCCAAGATGCTATCCACAAAGTCTGAAAGCTTGCCTGTGTCCTGACGAACCAAGATAGTGTCACCAACCTCAGCAAAGAAATAATAAGTGTCTTAGGGACTAGGTCACAGAAGCACTCTCATGCAACTCCAACACTGAATTCTGCCAAAATGCCTTCACAGAGACTATACTTCAGCATCTACCTGGATCTAATACTAAAACACCCCATTCAACCATGATTATAAAGCACACCTGCAAGAGGAACTCCCTCCCTGCTAACCCCACTCCAGAGTACTAGAAAAAGTAATTTCTCTACCAGATGACCATACTGAGAGAAGGAAAACATTCTCAGTTAAACTACAGTGTAAACTGGGATCCCCTGGACCTGTCAGGATAAAGTGGACCTGTCACTGAGTGTATACTTTGCAGCAACTTTAACCCATTAAGTAATGTGAGCAAAGATGTTCTTCTCTCCTCTGCAGATTTAAAGTCACCTCGTTTCTTACTCAAGATAATCCTTCTAAGGTGCTCTGTTTGTAACCTCTCACAAACACCAGGGTAACTTTCAGCTATTCCAACTACCTGGGACACAGCCAGAAATCAGGAAGCAAGCAAGAAAGATTGGTAGAAGATACAGTTCCTGTAATAACACAACAAAGTTTATTTAATTCAACCCAATAAAAATGTAGAGACCACACTATTCACCAGGCACTACACATGATGCTGGGGATGATGATGATGATGATGATAAGAATAACAATTACAGCAGTAGCCAACGCATACTGAACGCTCTCCATGTGCCAAACACTGTTGTAAACACATTCATTCGATCTTCCCAACAACCCTATGAGGTATGTCCTATTGTTATCCACATTTTCATAATAAGGAAATTAAGGCAAAGAGTGGTTTACCACTTGCCCAGAGTCACACAGCTAGTAAATGGGAGATGCAAATGCAGTTGGTCTGGTTTCTGAGTCTGTACTGCTAGGCACTACGCTATATTGCACTCTCAATAGAGTGGGGATAAAGGATACAGAGGACAATAGGATTACTCTACCCCTAGAGCCTACAGTTCAATTGTGAAGACAAGGAAATAAATAGAGGAGCACCTATACCAACCCAGGGTTCAGGGAAGGCTCCCAGTGGTAGATGCCCGGCCAGCTGAATTCTAAAGTAGGAGCTAATCAGGGAGTTATAGGGGTGAGGAGTGCATTCCAGGAAAGGGAGTAGCTTTTATAAGTCCCCAGCATCAAGGAAACCATGAAGAGACTGTGGGACTGCACACTGATCACAAAAACTGTGCAAAGAGTGCAAGTAAATAATGGTGTGCTTTGGGGGAGAAAGGAGGAGGTTAGTGGAAGAGGGTTGAAATGTGAGAGTGGAGAGATAAACAGAGGCAAACTCATAAAGGACCTCCTGTGGCATGCTGAGGACTTAGGGAGTTTGTCCTGAAAGAAGTGGGGGCCTGTAGCGGATTGAATTATATCCCCCCAAAACTCACTGAAGCTTGAATTGTGTCCCCCAAAGTTTTATGTATCAGAAACTTAGCCCCCACTGTGACTATTAAGAAGGTGGGAGATCTTATTACGGTAATTGAAAGGTGGAGCCTTGAAGAGGTGATTGGATTGTGGGACCATGCCATAGTGAATAGATCAAAAATGGTGGTCAGGGTATGGTTCTGAGGGCTTTAAAAGAAGACAGAAGAGAGTCTGTCTCTTTCTGCTCTCTCTGCTTCCACCATCTTGCAATATAAGGCCCCTGGGTTGCTGTAGCCACCACCACATGGACTTTGGACTTCCCAGACTCAGAAACTGTAAGCAATAAATTTTGTTTTTTCTTTATAAATTACCCAGTTCCAGGTATTCTGTTATAGCAACACAAAAGGGACTAATACAGAAAACTGGTACCAGAGAAGTGAGGTGTTGCTTACAATAGATACTGGAAAATGTGGAAACGGCTTTGGAACTGGGTGTTGAGGAGAGGTTGGGGGAGTTTGGTGGACTCAGGAGAAGATAAAGAGACAAGGGAACGTTTGGAATGTCTTAGAGACTGGTTAAGTGGTGGTGAGCAGAATGCCGATAGAAATACGAACTGTAAAGACCACTCTAAGGAGGTCTCAGACAGAAATAAGAAGTTTATTGGAAACTGGGGCAAGGATCAACTTTGCTATAAACTGGCAAGGAGTTTGGCTGCATTGTGTCCATGCACTAGGACTTTGCTGGAAGTTGGGACTTAAGAGGTGTGAACCAGAGTATTTGGTGGCAGAAATTTATAAGTAGCAAAGCGTTAAGGAAGTGGCTACTTGAAAGAAAAATCCAATGGTGCTAAGAAGATTAGTACAAAGGAAAGGGATTATTATGGGAAGGAGAAAAAGATCCTGAAGGCATTGCAGAAGCTTCTGGGGCCAACTCTTCCATTTCAGGCCCAAACACCTAGAGAGACAGAACGGTCTTGGGGAACAGGCTTAAGGAGCCCTCCACAGGCTCTCTGCCCAGGACCACCTCAGGAAGCAGCTTTCAGCACCAGCACCCCAGCTGCTTTCGCTATTCCTGTAGGCAAATTGGCCTCAGGTGTGGCTGGATGTGCAGCTTTGGAAAATACAAGCCGGAAGCCTTTACAGTGTCCACAAAGGGCTGCAGGCTCGCAGAATGCCAGAGCCGTGGAGGCTTAGGAGCCTCCACCTAGATTTCAAAGGATGTATGGAAAAGTCTGGGGCCCAGGAAGAAATCTGTCACAGGGGCAGAGTCATAGCAGACAACCTTCACTAGATCAGTGCTGAGCGGAAACGTGGGGACAGAGTTGCAGCAGAGAAACCCCATCAGTGCCATGTCTAGGGGAACTTTGAGAGCGGGACTGCCATGGAGACCCCAGACCTGTGGAGCTAAAAGTGGAATGCCAGCCTGGGAGAGCTGAAATGTGGCCTATGATCAGGAAAGCCATAGGAGCAGAGCTGCCCAAGGACTTGGGGACCCAACCCTCACACCAGAATGCAGAGGTCAAACCTGGCATGAAGGTACCTGATTCGCCAGCATTGAGATTTAATGCCTGCCCTCCTGGGTTTCAGACTTGTTTGGGACCTGTTACCCCTTTCTTTTGGCCTATTTCTCCATTTTGGAATGGGAATATGTACCCTGTGTCTGTCCCACCATTGTATCTTGGAAGTAGACAACTTATATTGATTTCACAGATGGGACTTTGAACTTCAGACTCTTGAGTTAAAACAAGTTAAGACTTTGGGAATGAAATGAACGTATTTGCAATGTGAAAAGGACATGAGTTTGGGGGGGCTGGGGCGGTATGTAGTGAATTATGTCCCCCAAAACTCGCTGAAGCTTGAACTGTGCCCCCCAAAGTTTTATGTATTAGAAACTTAGCCCCCACTGTGACTGTTAAGAGGGTGGGCGATTTTATGGTAATTGAAAGGTGGAGCCTTGAAGAGGTTATTAGATTGTGGGACCATGCCATAGTGAATAGATTAAAAATGGTGGCTAGGGGCATGGTTCTGAGGGCTTTAAAAGAAGAGAGAAGAGAGTCTGTCTCTTTCTGCTCTCTCTGCTTCCACCATCTTGCAATGTGAGGCCCCTGGGTTGCTGTCATCACCACCAGATGGACTTTGGACTTTCCAGACTGTAAGCAATAAATTTCATTTTTTCCTTATAAATTACCCAGTTCCAGGTATTCAGTTATAGCAACACAAAACAGACTAATACAGGGCCCATGGAAGGTTTTGAACAGGGGAACCAGCTGCACTTTAGAACTGCTCAGTAGTGTAGAAATGCATCAGCCGAGGACAAAACTAAAAGAATGCTTAGTGGATAAGAGCTGGCAACAAGTGTAATTAGGTGAGAAGACAGTGGCCTCAACTAAGGTGGTGGCACTGGGTTAGAAGAAAGTGAACTTATGTGAGAAACACTATGAAGAAAGTAACAAGAGTACCTGTTGACTGACTATTTATGGGGGGACAAGGAAGCACCCAAGGCAACACCACCAAGTCTGGCATTATTGAGACAAGGAACACTGGGAGAGAAGCAGGTTTCAGGTATGAAAGACTTATAATTCTCACTCACTTGACTCAGAAAATCCATGGAACAAAGGTTGTAAATTCTTTCTTTAAATATTGTTAATGATAATAAGGTTTTGATCTGTCTTTCAAGCCTATGAGTGATTGGAAGCTGAAAATTCAGGGTGAATGGTTTGTGCCCAAGAAAAAAGAAGGCTGACAGAAAGAAGAGAAGATGAAAAGAAATAATTAAAAGAACCAACTTTGGGATGCCATTAAACAGCAAAGAGCTCTTCCCCCTCAACAGGGTAATCACAGCACATCACAGAAGAACAGGTTACACGATTAACCTAATCATTGAGAAAAGGTTAATTTGTGCTCTGTGTGCTCTGTTTTAATAAGCAGGGGAAAGAGGAAATGGATTTCAGAAAGGCACTGATAGAAATAGTTCAAATAAAAAGTTTGCTGCAAAAGCCTCTGTTACATAGAAAATTCACTTAGCAGAGAAAACCTCATTCCCCACCATGATAGAAAAAACATGTGATAGATCCCAGGTCTCTTTTCAGAAGAGAGGTGCTTCAGTGACCAGGCACAGGTTCTTCCACCAAGATAAGCCTTCCTCCCTCAAAGCCAGCATTCCTACCACTCCCCATCATCTCCTTGAGAAGAGCTAACCACTCTGTGATTGCTGGTGAGTTTTGTGGTTGGCTTTGTTCAAAGTGACATTAAGCTGGCTCTCATTTCAAGGCCATATACTGCTCCCTTGGCAATTGCTTCAAAAATTCTGATAGAAAAATAAAAAAATTTAAAAAATAACATTACCAGGCACAGAATTAATCAGTGCTAAATACACTCCTTACCTGTCCTTTATTATGACTTCACCACAGGATTGGCAATAAAATGTGCAATATTCTTGGGCTTGTGAGCTTTGATTAAACACTGAAATCAGTTCTAAAGGAAAACAATAAAATAGCAAATTTTAGAGGTTTGGAACCACTATATTAACATATTTAAAGAGTTTAATAGCCACAATAAATTATCAATAAACACTGTTTATGATCTACCCAGAAGTACACATATAATTAGTATTACCTGATGACTCAATAAGAAGCAAATATTGTAAAGTGTTTCCCAAACCAAGAGATTTTACTAAGTGTTTCAGAACTAGGTATTGCCCTAGACTACCCATGTAATATACTGTCGAGTTATTTTCTCTCATTCTATCAATACCAACATTAAAGATGAGTGAAAATGAACTATTTCCTTCTCATCAAGCTAACCACACAGATCTTTGGCATCCTCAGCTTTCCTCTGCTATGTCTTATGGTACAATTTTTCATCCTTATGACTGCTGGTAAATAGCACTCTTAAATTTAATTAAGATAAGGTTTATGTCCACTCTAGCATATTACCAGTATGTACAAACAAAACAGATCTCAAAATAGTCCATTCCTGGGAATAGAATGGCTCCTGAGAAGGTTCCAATCTTCCAAGAGCAAAATTCAATTTCTGATGAAAGCTGTGGGAAAACTTTGAAAGCTGTGGGGAAAATGTATATTTCCTACACTGTGCGTAACAGCAGCATAAGGCAGCACATTTCCTTAGCTTCTGTTATTTCATTTGTGAAAAAAGGAAACTTTCATTTAAAACAATAAATAAAAACTAAAGTATTTGTCTATATCAATCTAATTAAATAAATGAGGTCATATCCATTAGAATCAAGCAATTTGAATTTGGTTCATGTAACTTCATATGTATTTTAAGTATTAAAAAACTGATGCTAGAAAGTGTAAGCCTTGTCAGTTGAAATTCTGCAATTTAATTTCTAGGAGTGCTCATGAATCCCTATAGCACTACGGTAAAGTAAAAAGTAATTCTTTAATTTTCAGCAGATAAGAGACCTGGGTAAGACACCTAAAATACTCTTTCCAGAACCAATAAACAAATTTTCAGTAAAACACTACCCTCTGCTGGCCACCCAGCAGGATACATCGGCTCAAGTTTAAAAGCCAGAACTTTCTGATCTAGAGGAATTCTGAGACAGCATTGCCTCTGGGGATGAATCCAATGACTACCATGGCCAGTTCCATTTCAGGGGTCACGATTTGACCTATCTTACACTCAAAGTACTGAACCAATAGGCTATATACTGTAGCTATCCTTAAAAGATTATTCTTAACAGTTGAAAAGTCAACTTTTTAAAAATCCTGAAACAACTGAATGCTAAAAATTTCAAAAGTCATTTCCTACAATATGGTTTGATTAAAGTTCATATCTGTATGCCTCTATCTGATATTCATTCATTCAACAATATTTATTCACCACCTATTATGTGGAAAGTATTAAAGCAATTAAGTGCCAAGGAAGCTATTTTGCATACTCTTTCATGCACTGTGGAACAGGCCTTTGAAAGTTTTCCCTTTTGGATATTTGAGTAAAATATGTTTTAATAGTGTAAAGAAACGGGAGACCTATGAACACAAACAATATGCAAACCAGCGCATAGCAGTCCATTTATTTTGTCCTACAGTTAAGATTAAACAATGTTTGCTAATTTAAAGTTTTAAAAATAATTCCCACTTTGCTATTTATATACTCACAGTTACAGAATATGAATGAGCGACAACTCAATACTGTGTCGCCTCTATTCCTCCATCCCTAAAATCACAGTCCCAGAAAACTAGAAAACAATCCACTATGGCTTTCATGTCTGCCTCTTTCCAGTCTCCGGCTCTGACACAAAATTCCTACTGTGGTCACTGTTGTTCTTCGCTGCCAAAGAAGAAGGTTATGGCATCACAAGATCCAGACCCCCACCCCACCCCGACCTCTTTCCTGATACTACTCTTCCTTTGCCCATTATTAGGTGCATTCAGGGAGTTTATTAGTCCATTTCCCATCTTGGTGACCCCATCCTTCTTTCCATGGTTATTCTAACAGTCATTCTTAGCCTTTATCCTAGGCCAGTTAAGCTCCATGACATCTCTTTTCCCTACCTCTTGTTCCTAAAACCAACTCTGTCCAATTCAAACTAGTTATTCACTAATACAGGACTTTAGCAAAAGTTACTCTCCGGCAAAAAAAGAAAACTCTAAAAAAAAAAACCTCCCTTTATCTTCTCCTTCCTTTCAAAAGCCAGGAACAGAGACTCAGGGGAATACTAGACATCTCCTAAATGGCTCTTCAGAACAATCCTGCTGATCCCACCTCCAGGCTCCACGCAGCTCAGATAAAAGGCTTACTTATTACAGATGATGGCAGCAATGAAGTCTCAGGCTACAGCTGAAAAAATTATAATCTTTCTTTGATAATAAGTATCAGATGAGTCTTTTACAGCCTCTGTTTCTTCTTTTTACAGCATTTTAATCCCCCAAAGCATATTATTTACATTGGAAGATATGCAATGAACCAATAATTTTACTCAGTAAATAATCTTGAAGTCTTACAATAAGAAAATTTTCTATTGTCTTACTGAATCAGTATACCAATTACAAAATATTACAAATATAACAGGCATAGCAACAATCAAAATCAAGGGCCGGTCCGGTGGCGCACTGCTACAGTGCGCCGCTTGGGAGCGCAGCGGCGCTCCCGCCGAGGGTTCGGATCCCACATACAGACCGGCCGCTCACTGGCTGAGCAAGGTGCGGGCGCAACACCGAGGGTTGCGATCCCGTTGCCGGTCCCGGTCTGGTACGGGCACGACACTGAGGGTTGCGATCCGTTGCCGGTCACGAAAAAAGACAAAAAGGAAAAAAAAAAAAAAAAACAATCAAAATCAAATGATGCAAATTCAATTTCAGTACCTTTATATGTACTGTTCTCTCTGGAACTGTCTCTACATGGGTGGGATCATTTCCATCATTCATTTCTCTGGCCAAATACCACCTACTCAGAATGGCCTTCCCTGACCACCCTTCACTCAACCCTAGTCATTTCCTGCCCCATTATTCTGCCTGACTTTACCCATAGCACTTTTCTTAGTATGCAATTATGTTAGTTGTTCATTATCTGCTCTCACTCTTTAGAATGTAAGCTTCTTGAGAGCAGAGACCCTTCCTAGCTTGTTCACTTCTGCATCTCCAGCACCTAGATCAATGCCTAGTACATAGTGTGAGCTGAAACACTTATTGAATGAATAAACTTCTATGTAAAATCAACCAGGTCTTGTACAATCACCATCTAATTTAATATTCACATCACATTTGTGAGCCAGGAAATTTTACAATTAAAGAAAACAAAGCAGGCACTTCAAGGCTGGAGCCAGTGAGCACACGAAGCAAGAACTGGCAAAAGCTGTAGACGTACCCTTTGTGTGAAGTTGCTTGGATGGGGCAGGGGAGAAGAGGGCCTTGGTGGCCCTCAGGTCAGCAAGACCACTAACAGGGTTCCTGTGGATCCACATAGGAGCAAGGGGACACAACTGAAAAAAGGAGCCACTTAGAGGCTGGTGCATCATCTCAAGGGACCAGCACACAGCCTGCCCCATGAGAAGTGTTTAGAGTGTGGGCGATGGGGGAGACAGGCCCACCGGGAGAACACTGGGACACAGCAAGGACAGTTGATCTGCCCATCACTCAGCACAGGCCCACTCTGTATAAACTGGTCAGGAATACAGATCGGCAGGGGGTGCAGTTTGCTGAAAAGACTCAGGTCCAGACCAGAGTTTCCACACAACCCAGGTGTACCAGACATCACCAGACCCAGAAGTACATACGAAGTCAACCATTAAAACCTGGGCTGCACAAAAAGCCTTCCCCAGGGAATAAGCAGCAAAGCAACAAATCACAGGGTTCAAGTGCTGGTTCTCACAGGAAGTTCCCCCATTTTAGAAGTGACCGAAGGACAACAAATTAGTTCTAGTGCGGAGTTTAAGTGGTAGGAAATGTGAATAATCCAACACAGAACTGAAAGAAAAAACAAAATACCCACAGACCAGAGACAAAGTTTGATATTAACTAGTAAAGGTCTCAGATCACCAAAGAACACCTATCAAACCTAGAAGGACTGGAAGCCACCTGGGCTACCAAGCCAGGGAATGGTGAGGGCCAGGGACCTCAGCCATGCCCCCTGACACCCACAACCAGCCCAGCAATAACCACTGTGGCACTGCAGGAAGCAACCCGGGCTCCTGAGCCAGGGCAGTGGGGACCGAGGGCTTTGGCTATAACCCCCTGACATCTGCATCCGGCCCAGCAATGACCTAGCCACGACTGGAAGCCCCCTAGTCTCCCTTGCAGGAATGAGGAGGGTGCCATGGGCCTCAACCTTGCCCCCGCTCCTTCCTCCTTCTCCCACCCTATTTCCTCCCCACTTCACCTCCTCCCCAACCCCCAATTGCTCCGCAGCATCTTAGAATGTAAAAGAATAATATTAATAAATAAACTTATAATTAAAGAAAGAAAACAAAGCAGAGGGTACATGGGAAATCTCTGTACCTTCCCCTCAATTTTGCTGTGAACTTAAAAATGCTCTAAACAATAAAGTCTATTTTTAAAAAAAGAAATGAAGCCTAAGAAAGGGTAAATGACATGTTCAATTGCACATAGCTAACAAGCTGCAGAGCTTATAAAGACCCTAGATCTTCTCGACCTCCAACTCTTTTCATGCTGCTGCTGAGTTGTTTCACTTGGGAAAAGTTCATCTTACTAAAGGAAAAATCGCCTTTGATTTATAACAAAAAAGTAAATGCCAAACGGAAGTACCAATACTACTCACTTGGGCTGAATTCCGCCTGGGCCTGCAACCGCAGGTGCAGTCCATCTCCAGGGACGTACTGCAGCCCACGGCAAGAAGAAGGTACAAGCCTGACCTCTGCTGGAAGCCAGATCTCTGTGCAGCCTTCAGGAGTTTTCATCTGGAGTGAGGACGAGGTTATGGAAATATACATGGGCATATCTCCTTCTTTTGGCTCTCTGATAATAAAAAATAAAAATCAAACAAATTATTTCTCATAATGAAAACCACATGATGAAAGAAATGAAAATGACCGAGGATCTCTCTGTTCCCCTGCAAAGGGGCTCTAAAGTCACTGCCCCAGAAAAACATAAGCAAGACCACCACACTCCCAAGTGGCACACTGTAGCAGTGCGCCACCGGGCCGGCCCCATCAGACTAATTTCTAACTAGTTCCTTTTCAAAGCAAAAGGATCTGCACTTAACTGGCAATACAAGATATCAAGAACCTGAGTTTGGGGCAGGAAAGACAGCCTCAAATCCTTGAATCAAAAGTCCAATGTGAAGAAATGTTTAAGAAACAATGATCTCTAAAGCAGAGATCAGCAAACTTTTTCTGTAAAAGGCCAAATAGTAAATATTTTAGGCTATATGGTCTCTGTTACATATTCTACTTTGAGTTTTCTTAAACAACCCTTAAAAAATGTAAAATCCTTGGGCCGGCCCAGTGGCGCACTGCTACAGTGCACCGATTGGGAAGCGTGGCGGCGCTCCCGCCGAGGGTTCGGATCCCACATACAGACCGGCCGCTCACTGGCTGAGCGAGGTGCGGGGGCAACAACGAGGGTTGCGATCCCGTTGCCAGTCCTGGTCCGGTACGGGTGCGACACTGAGGGTTGCGATCTGTTGCCGGTCACAAAAAAAAGAGACCAAAAGGAAAAAAAAAAAAAAAAAAAAAA